TTAAAAGATATTTCTCGAATATTCGCGCATATACCAGAACATGTTACAGCAGCGATGCATTCGCCATTTATTAGACAGTTACTTAATTAATAAACGTTACTTCATGCTCTCAGTATATTTCCGAATAATCACTACTTTATCAAGTATTGTGAATAACGAGAAATGGAAGATCAAAAGAGGACCAAACTAGTGAAGAGAGTGACTTACGGGATTGGAGCAGAACTGTACTTTTCGAAAATGGCTCGCACGATACTATGTTCCTAGGTTGACGGCTCGAGTAAATCTTACCTTTTACTTCCTAACTTCACATACCCCTGTTTTAAAAAGCTCGTTATTACAAAGAAAATTCTACAATTATAATATAATTTGTTAATTAATGAATATTTTTAACAGATATCTCTATCAGATTGTTTAGTAGTAGGTAATAATAGTTTATCAAAAAATATAATATATTTTTTAATATGTACTTAGTTTTTATTTAGAGCCTGTGTAAATTAAGTAAATAAATAAATAAATAAAATATGTAAAATAAATATATAAACAAAATATTAACATGTTAATGTGGATAAGTTTATTAATTTTTAAAGCTGAATATTTAAAAAAAAATCAAAATCAGTAAAAACTCTCGACTTAATACCTTTTTATAATTTTTTCTAAATATAGATCAATAATCTAAAATAATAATAAAAACTCGTTTTTTTGAAATACCGTTAGAGGTGGAGAATCTAACTCAATAAACGTCTTTTCTGAAGTACTTTAAAAGTTGACATCTTTATTACAATAATTTTCCCGAAGGCATAAAATATTTTGTATAAATTGCCTGTCTCTGTGTGTCTATCGTTTTCTGCTATATTACTTCGGCCTTTGATGTTTCTATATTAGAATTAATAGTATTTTGACGAAACAGAAGTCTTCCCTCAATGAATAAATATTTGCGCATTTTATTTATATTTGAACAATAACTTACAAAATTTATTTATTCATTTAGATGGTGATTTTTTATTTTTTTAAAGCTAGTTAATTAATGGGTATAGAGTAGAATACTAAGAAATCTCAGACTAGTCTCGTCTTCAAAAAACACCAGAAAACACATTATTTATATTAAATAATTGAAATAGTACTTATTTGTAATTTTCTTGTATAACTAAGCTTTATAACATGAAATTTTAAGAAAAAACAAATTTGTAATCGTAAATACCTAATAAGTTTGCATTTTGAAAATACAAGTATTCATTGTAGTGAATTTAAAATAACTCGTTCCACAATTAATAATTATTGTAAACATAGTAATTAAATAAAATGGTAATTATGTTGCCAAGTTTGAAAAGAAATGTGGGTATAACAGTATCTATAAATAATTAGTGATTTGTGTAAAAAGAAGAGAGATAGCATCAAACGACTAAAATCTACTTTAACCTAATAAACATTGCAAATCTGCTAATTGAAGAACTTTTAGAAAATATGACAAAAATGACCGTGAAGCGGTTAAGATGCAGGGTGATATGTCGGTATGGTCAAGCAGATTTTAGTTTCCTCGGAGTCCAAGAAGAAATTGAGAGGACAATATAGAATGAGAAATAAAGAGAAAAGTTATCAAAAATAATATTTTGCTTTTTAACAAACAGAGTACATTTGAAATAGAATGTTTGAAAGAAAAAAAATGTTTCTAAAAAACACACGTGAGAAGTTTCATATTCTAAATCTGAAGATTAAATATTGAATGAAGATTATATCCATAATGATGTGATATTTACCAGTTTACTAAATATATAAATATTCAATCAAATTTAACAAAAATTTAATAAAAATTTGCAATGATACGAGCACGTTCTTCACAAATCAAAATTTGCGTTTCTAAAGAAAGTTTAAAAAAAGTTTTTGTTGTTGTTGTTGTTGTTGTTGTTGTTGTTGTTGTTGTTGTTATTATTATTGTTGTTGTTGTTGTTGTTGTTGTTGTTGTTCTTGTTGACCTTAGCTATTCTTAGTCTAGAGGTTAGACTGTAGAAAAGACATGGTTGTAGGTACACCTGAGAAAATTAAATGTGATAAATAAAAAATTTAACAAGAAACAGAAAAATCACTGAATTTTGATCCTTGAAAATAATAAAGGTTATGCTTCTATGATTACATTATTAAGGAGTTATATTTAACATTTAGTTTTGTTGTTTTAGGAAACCCACTAGAAGAAAATAAATAGTAAAATAAGAAGGTCTATGACGGGAGTAGAACATTGAAAATACAATTTTATTTTGTATAGTTTTAATTATAAATTATTATTTTATGACAAATTAATGGAAAATCAGGTAGTTTTAATATTTGGTAAAAATTTTTTACAAGAAAATTAATTAAAAAAAAAAACTTTAATGAACCCGTAAAAAGTTGTAAATAAAAAACACTTTCCCAAAAAATTTTTTTGGCACTCCTTTCTAAACTTTCTTTTTTTTTTAATTAAAAACATGATCATTAAAATATATTATAATTATGTAAAACAAAGCAAAGATAAGCCAATTACCAGTGCCATCTTTCTACGAAAATAAGCAATATTTCTGTAAGAACGAAGTTGCCAATTAAAAAATCTCCGACAAGGTCGAAGAGGGAAAAAACAAGAACCCTAATGATCATATTAACAATTCTCCAATTTAACTAAATGTAAGTCGTTTGTGATGCTGTATAAACTCCATCAAGCGAAACGGCCCCGACACCCAACTACCAGGCTACAAGTCGATAACTTAGAGCAATTTACATTAAGCGCCGCCACGATTTTTGCGGAGAAAAGCAAAAACAAACGTTTCGAAAGACCAAAAGGGTTGCAACAATTGTTTCCTGAACAAATGTTATTTTATGTTCCTTTTCTCTTTATATTTGCTCTTTAAGTCATGTTTGAAATAGAATTTGGCAAAAAACTTCAAATGTTTTAAGTTAATAGGCTATATTAAAGATTTAAGTAAATAGAATAGCCAACTACCCCATCAGCTAATAATAATTTTGTTATATGCTGTTTCAACATGCAAAAAGACAAATCACTATAATTCTAAATTAACTGTACCTATATAAAAAATACATAAATTACACAGGTCCACAAAAAAAAGTGGTCTATGCTGGGTGTTCGACAAAGATTTTCCGACGTATTTTTTACCGCTGAACACGAATCTGAAGTCAAAATTGGGGGTCAAACTGCAAAAAACGGAGAAAAATTAAAAAAACCGATAAGATTATTGATTTTATACGTCGGAAAATCTTTGTCGAACACCCATCACAGACCACTTTTTTTTTGTGGACCTGTGTTATGTATAAAATAGTAATTTTATAAAACAAAATATTACAAAAATTAATTAGGCACTTAAAAAAATATACCAATGTATAGAAAGTAACAGAGAATGCAAAATGGGAAAAATGTTATACAGGAGCCGAAAGCTTTACAAATTCACCATTTAACAAAAAAAACCTGTAGTTTTATTTTAAACACCTACAACCCAAAAAAAAAACAAAACCAGAAAAGATATGATAAAATTAAGAATAATATTTTATTTTGTTTGTATTTAGGAGAAAAACATTAGTGATCTTGTCTGACGGAATAAGGTTTAAAGAATGATGGTGTCTGAGTGGATGTTACTGATCCACCTTTTGCCTGTTGCTAACAGAAAACTCCTAAAAAACTTACAGCAGACCCGACGGCCGTGGGGCTTGATCCCACGACCTTTTAAACACGAGACGAGTGAGTTACCGCAGAGCCACCTGATAAAGTCGTAAAACAATAAAATTGTTCAGTGGTAAAATGGTAAAATGGTAAAATGGTAAAATGGTAAAATGGTAAAATGGTAAAATGGTAAAATGGTAAAATGGTAAAATGGTAAAATGGTAAAATGGAAAAATGGTAAAATGGTAAAATGGTAAAATGGTAAAATGGTAAAATGGTAAAATGGTAAAATGGTAAAATGGTAAAATGGTAAAATGGTAAAATGGTAAAATGGTAAAATGGTAAAATGATAAAATGGTAAAATGGTAAAATGGTAAAATGGTAAAATGGTAAAATGGTAAAATGGTAAAATGGTAAAATGGTAAAATGGTAAAATGGTAAAATGGTAAAATGGTAAAATGGTAAAATGGTAAAATGGTAAAATGGTAAAATGGTAAAATGGTAAAATGGTAAAATGGTAAAATGGTAAAATGGTAAAATGGTAAAATGGTAAAATGGTAAAATGGTAAAATGGTAAAATGGTAAAATGGTAAAATGGTAAAATGGTAAAATGGTAAAATGGTAAAATGGTAAAATAGTAAAATGGTAAAATGGTAAAATGGTAAAATGGTGTTTATCTGTTCAGTGTGGTAAATTAAGTGCATTGAGAAGCACACGTAACAATAATATTTAGAGGGACTTTCTGTTAGATAAGTGTGCGGGTGATTGTATATCTGGTGACATAAATCAATGACAAGTGTGAAAAATAGCAGGAAAATAAATTGTTTCCCTTTAACTTTGAACTTTATAATTTCCCTACCAGAGTTAATTTTTGTGAAGGTTTCTTACAACGCATGAGTGCAATTAACATTTTTCGACAACAATTATATAGTTAAACAGGACCATATTGAAAATAAATATAGTAAATTTTGTATTTTTTAGTTTTTTTTTTTTAAGCAATTTTTAAAAGTGTATTATAATTACCTCTATAAAAATTTAAAAAATGTATCAACGTAAAATTCACTCTGCGTAACACCTTTTAATCTCTGATGATGGTTTTGTAAAACGGAAAGCACTCAGCCTCATAAATTATTTTTTAACACCTTTTATCTCATATTTTTACTTTACACACCATTCTCAGTGTTCTTATTTAATAATTAACTCTCTCCTATACACATGCGTTCTCTACAGAGTAAACCCATTTAACCTGAGACCTGTTTAGCTGGCATAAATCAATTTATAGCAACCTTGCAACACCTGACATCGTTACGGAGTGAAACAGTTCGTGCAGAATGCATTTGCTCGATAAACTATTATTCAGCACTTCAATCTCTTGAGTGGTGTAAGTGTTGCATCAATATTGCAAACGAATATTAAATGGAATTGTTCCATGTAAAACATTTAAAATTAGTACTTAAAGTGTTAACGATTGAGTGGCTCTTAGTTAAATTGAATTTTGATGAATATTACAGGTTGAATGGGAAACAATACTGATTATTTATAACGGGGTGAGAATTTAAAAATCTTGCAATGAGAATAGCTCGTGAACTAAAGATGATATCAAAACATGCGTATAACTGTTTCTAGGATACAAGAAGGGAATATAAATGACAAAATTCAGAACTCACCACCTAGCAACCCCCTACTCGTTAGACAGCACTGGAAAGCCAGTAAAATAAGCTTTGTAACGATATACTTGTTATATCTAATACATGGTAGTTTAATCGTAAATAATAACACACTTGTCTAGCAAATATTAATCCTAATCCTGGCTTTGATTAAATTACAGGAAAAATCTTAAAACAACTTCAGAATAAAACCATAATTAAACTTACACACCTGTTTAATGCCTGATTCAAACTAAGGTATGTCCCTAGATTGTAGAAGGTAGCTGAAGTCATTATGATTCCCAAACCAGGAAAACCTCCGAACGAAGTTTCCTCATATAGGCCAATATCTTCTATTGCCTATAATATCGAAACTATTTGAAAAAAAATACTGATAAAAAGACTGAAACCCATTTTTAAGGTAGTTCACTTGCGACAGTCGTACATAAAAATATCGCGTAATGGTGAATTTCAAAAGTTCGAGATTTTCAATGCTAATCAATTTTATTTTTGTAAGAAACTGTACAAAACACATGTATATAAACATATCTGGACATGTTATAATTTTAATCAAATTCGTCCATCAATCTCGCATATATTTAAATGATGTGGTATAGAAATTTGTGACTTCCTCATACCAATTTTAAGGGTTTGTTTTGGTTCAAACAGAACCGCTGATTCCAGTTCTCAAACACAGTGGACGAATTAATTTTTCAAGAACACGTCGCGAGTTTATAACAATCTATTAGCTGAACGAGTGCTACTTTGTTACGTAAAGTGGTTACAATGTTGACAAGTTGTAATAATTTTACGATACTACTCGTCAACTGCTTTAAAAATATTTTTATTTTAAAAATCTATATCTTTTTACTAAGACGGTAAAAAAATTCAGCGATTATTTATTAAATTTTATAACTTCTTCCGTTTAACATTAGTTTCTAAAAAATAGGTAAAAACCGTTTTCGAGATATCTTGAAATAAATGCATTGCTTGTGTACATGATAGGCTTCAAGAGTGTTAATAATGCACATTTTAATTGTTAATATCTCGTTTCACAGACAGTCAAAAAATATAATTTTTTTTTAGTTACGTAAACGATACTTTCATAAACCTTATATTTCAATGTTATTGAATTCTTAAGAAAATCCGTTTTACGAGTTAACTACTTTAAAGGAAGAAAACTTATTCCAGATTATCAGTTCGGCTTTAGAGAAAACCATTCAACTATAGATCAAGTTCATAGAATCTCATATGTGATTTAAAAAGCATTAAAAAACAAAGAAGTCTGTTCAGCCATCTTCCTCGATGTTGCGCAGGCTTTTTATAAAGTATGGCATGATGGCTTAAAACATAAACTGAATGTGCTACTTCCACAGCCATACTCAGAGCTATTGGATTCATACATTTCAGATAGATTATTTAGAGTAAAACAAGATGAAGCATACTCTGAATTAAAAGAAATTAAAGCAGGAGTACCACAGGGAAGCGTCCTGGGACCCAATTTGTATCTGTTGTACACTTGTGACATACCCCAACTAGGACAAGACAAAATAGCTACATTTGCAGATGATACTGCCATCCTACCGATAGTCAAAGATCACGAAGAGGCTGCAAATGACCTACAATCATCAGTTAATCAAATAAATAATTGGACCAATAAAAATGGTCAAAGAATACCAATTAACATAAATAATGCTCAGGTCCCCTTATGCTAACTTGGCAAAATATCTAGGTATCACACTGGATGAAAGAGTTCGCTGGAAGGTACATGTTAAAAAGAAAAGACAAGAGTTAAATATAAAATTCAAGAAAATGTACTGATTACTTGGTAGGCATTCCGATCTATCTACATATAACAAAATTTTATTATATATATATAAGTTTTTAAACCAATTTGGACCTATGGCTCTAGGGTTGTGCCAGCTACAGTAATATTCTAATAATCCAGAGATACCAGCCTAAAGTATTGAGGAACATTGTTAATGCTCCTTGGTACATTAGAAAGATCGACCTTCATCGAGACCTTCAGATGGATACTATTCACCAGATTCGCTAGGAGTCACGAACAACAGCTCCACCAACATGTGAACGTTACGGCGATCCAGCTTCTTGACAACACGAACCTGACAAGAAGACTCAAGAGAGCAAAACGTTTTGAGTTACCCAGGGGATTGTGTTAATAACAAAGCAAAGCATTGCGTGGTTTAGTGTTACACGTTAGTTTGTTGTAATTAAGTTATCAGACCCTATACTAGCGAGTAGAACTTTAGTTTTCAAGATTCCAACTCTAGTTAAGTTAGGTTATAACAAAATTACTCATTAATCAACTCTTAATCAGATTGTAGTATTAATAAAGGCCTCTTTTGGAGTGTTTTTTTTTTTTTTTTTTTTTTTAAAAAACTTGTCTAGAATACAAGGATGTCCGGGTTCGATCCTCAAATACGACAAACTGTTTTTAAATCTCCAAGAACCTTGGGGTTCGAAGATGGTCTTAATAATTCGTAGAGGAGTTTTCAAAGTTTTTTCCGAATTTTAAAATTATATAGCCATTTATTTAAAATATTTCTGGCGATTCGGACTTAGATTTGTGATTTACGATTTTTTAAATTTACAATTATTCAGTCAGGTTTACGTCTTTTAACGTACATTGTAAACTTAATTCACGCAGACGAAGATATAAGCTTATCACATATACCAATGCTGTAGACAAGTACCCATAAGAGTACTTGAGAACAAATCTGACCGCCGTCGGGTCCGAACTAGCACATTAAATGTCTGTCTAGGAATCTAGACAGGCAATTTAGTGATGATCCAGAGGAAAGGGGACTTATGTAGCATACAAGGATGTCCATGTGCGATCCTCAGCTACGACAGCCTTTTATTGTCTGTAGTCCAGGTACAAAATAAAATATTTTTAAATCGTAGATTGTATTCAATCGAATGTGGCCATTTTCATTAAATAAAATAAAAATATCCAACATTGTCTCCACTTATTTTGATTATTAAAAAAAAATAGTATGGTACTTGATTTTTGGTATTTTTATTTTTGTGTTTAAAAGGCTTTTATTAGATTTTTACTTTTCTAATATCATCTTTAATTCATGAGATATAACTATTTTAAGTTTAGAAGTTGTCCTTGTTATATTAGTTGTCTGTAGCAATTTTTTAAACGCCAACTGCTAGTCTACGTGCTGTTTCATTGTTGCCTAGTTACGTTTTATATTGTATTGTTGTCAAAGGAAATAAAACCAGTCACAGAAATCTGTCTATCAATCGCTTATCTTAATATCCAAATCTAAAAAAAAAAACAACAGAGAAAAAATTAATTCCAACACTCTATCTTTGATTTTGCTTGCTAAGAAAGACGTTACTCTTGGACCAACTTCGTACTTACTAGGACTATTTAAAAAAAATAGATATTTTCATATTTAATCTATCTCTAATAGAAGCTGTATAAGCATAAAATTTACTCGTCTTCAAGATGATGATTAAGTGAAAATAAAGCTCTGAAGGTAGCGCATAAGCAAAATATAGTATAATATCTCTTGTACATCTGCAGTACTCATTTCATAAAACAAGACAGAATAATAGACTAACTGGGAATTATCCATTATAGAAGTCATATAAATTATACAATTTACATAAACTTTAGCAAAATTTTGCCGTTCAGATGTCCCATGAGGCAGGAGATAATTATTAAAATTTCATATTTTATGTCTCAGATACCTCGTGACGTGTATCAATGATCCCAGGGAATTTAAATTTTGTCGCCCAATGTATACTTATATTTTCATAATAAATCCATCTCTGTGTGTATTGTAGAAAAAGTAAAAGAGAAAAATAATTAGGTGTCAGTTCTTTATTTTAATAATTCTAGACAATGTATAAAGTGTTTTAGTAACTAAATGAAAACGGTAGCGTTTTTTAAGACTTTGCGATTTAGGGGTATATCCTGTTAAAATTTAAAATTTAATTTAATTTAAAATTTAAAGGCCTTTAAAAATTTTACTTTTAGTGACCCGTCAATTTTTTCAACCAAAAATGGTATTCTGTATACAAAAATCTCATAGATAGAGCCACAAGCCAGATTACCTGGTAGTGACTTGCGCAAACCGAACCAGTGCAGACTGGTTGCGGGACATCGTCATTATCATCCACCCTTGGGAAGGGGTAACCCTAAAAGCGTTGGATAGTGATGATATCCTTAGGCTACTAGTCTGCACAACACTCGTTCCCGACGAAAGAGAACAAAGGCCAGAAGGAGCGAAAATCCTCAAAAGGCTAAAAATTGCCAACTATGGGCTAAATACACACCTTTCGACGGTGTGAGGTAAAACTCCATAGGAAAAAGGCCAACCGTGCGCTTTCTCGATGAATCCTGAATCTCTAGAGGAGCTAAAAAGCTGGACATGTCCCTCTTCTATGACCTAGGGAGACTTACATTCAGAGTCGAAGGAGGACATGACCAAGAACCCGCCGAAAAGGTAAATAACTTAGACACAAGCAGGGAAGAGAAAACCAAAGAATCCTTCACAAAGTAAGAAACTTTAGTAGAGGACGACGAGGTGGAGTCTTTCCATAGCAGTGAAGACGACACCTAAGAGTCCTCTGCACAGGAGGAAATCTTAGTAGAGGACGACGAGGTGAAGTCTTCCCACAGTGAGGGCAGTCCACTTAAGATACAAGAAGCCCAAGAGGAGAATGTAACTATGGAAATTGGAGAGGACTCTATTCAGCTTTACTTTGCAGTATTTAATATTGATAATTTTATTCCGATTTGAGTCGGATGACTCT